GGCTGAGGGGCCCGGGCGGTCGCTGCCTCCCGCGGCGGCTGAGGGGCCCGGGCGGTCGCTGCCTCCCGCCGCGGAGGCGGCTGAAGGGCGGCTCGTCCGGAGGGCCCGTCCCGCCCTGCCTCGGGGTTTTATTTTTATCTCGCCTGTGAGGGGTGCTTCGGTTTCTGCCTCGCGTGTGGAAAACCAGGGACGCTCAGGAAGCGTGTCTCGGCCAAAGGGCAGCGCGGCCCGGCGTATTTGGGAGTTATTGCGGAACGTTTTGCTTTTAACCAGTTTTGCTGTTTAACGAGTGCAAGGGCCCGCTCAGGAGCTTGATCTTTTCCTTATTTACCCCTGCTTAGACTCGTGTAGTCATAATACGAATGCAGTCCTTTCAGTTTTTCCGAGGTCAGAGTTCTCTGGCAGCCTCCAGAAAAGGCTTTTAGGACTACCACTGAGGTAGCAGGAAAGGATTTATCTGCAGCGTTCATTTAATGCCTCCACTTATCTCCTAGCTGCACGCAGCTCTCTAGACATCTTCTCTGACTGCTAATCCATCACTGCTTTTTTATGTTGCAGGTGCTCTGCCGGTACCGGCAGATCTGGAATATTGATCTGCGCTTTCGTCCAGCTTTCCTTGGGGGCATAATGCAAGCAACTGGTAGGCAATATGGGGAGATTGCCTCTGGAGGGAAGTACCTTCTTCACCGGTAGGACACTAGTGGGCAAGCTCTTAGTGAGCATAGAGCCCACAGAGCCAGCTTTAAACTAGGTTTTGGCACCAGTAACGAATTAACTATAGGACCGTGGAGGTCAATAGTGACTGAGAAATCAGCCACAAGGAATTTCATACTGTTGCGATTACATGGCCACTGTTTGTGGCGCATACAGTCTATGCCAAAGTTCATCAGTTCGAAAATACGATAATAATCATTTGACACGGAATGTTTTCCTAAAAGTTTTCTATTGAGTTCAAACCAGAATTAATTTCTGGAACACTTGCAGTTTGTAATATGCATGAAGGATCCAAGTATGCCATAAAATATTAATTGTGGCCTTATGAGAACAAATTAATCACTGAGACTTAGAAGTCATAACTCATGAAATTAACAAGTCTCTACATTTGTCTACCCATGCGTTAGTAGTTGTTTAGCTTAAAAGTCATCTGTCTGAATCAGTATAAATCCCTGCTAGGGCATTTGTACCTTGGTTTAAAACTGATTCTGCTAACTTAAAGGCTTGACATGTGCAAAACCAAAATAAATCATGTTTAAATCCTAGAGTTATCTTTGGAAAAGCTGTGTATGTTTCAGTAAGCCAATATGAAATTTTACTCTTCCTTAGGCACATGTATGCATGAGGTCTAATTTGTCCAGTTCTGTTTTTTCTGGAGTTATTGTAATACAGCTGAAAATCTCAACAGAACTTTTTCCTGAAAGGTAACAAGCCCCCAGCAATGTTGCCAAAGCGTGCAGAATACATGTTGAAGGATGTAAAACGGATGGCAAAATACTACCAAGTGCCTGTACAAATTTCAGAAGATGACTTCCAACGTATTATTGGTACAAGTAAGTAAGAGACTTCGCTTAGCTGGTATCTTTCAACTCTAGCACTTCTGGTTCAAGTTCTCCCTAACAGTGAAGGTGAAGATGCATTCCCTGTCCACAGCCTCTTCCTGTACTTGTGAGCAATATGAAGTCTGTGCATTTTTAACCATACAAGGAATTTCTAGACAAATATGGTTGTGAATGATATTAGCATGGAAGATACTGTGAATCAACATAAGCTTTACTGTTTGGGGACTGTTGCAGAGAAGATCATACTGTTCTTAGGTAGCACTTGTGCAGACCATATCTGTTCCTGATCCTGTGCCTTGTTTCAGTATGTTTCCCTGTCTCCCCACTAATTCTAGGCAGTCTTGGGGCCATGCGCTTTATCACAGCCATTGATATGACACAACCACAATACTTGGAACCCTTATCTAGGGAGTTCTGGATACGTTTTTGGTCACAGGTCAGTATTTTATGAAGCCAGCTTCTTGATTCTTTCTCTGTCACCCTTCCTGTCCCACTTTGTTCAAATGTGGAATTCAAGCAAGAGAAAGGACATATCTTTTAATGAAAAGTCATAGCAGGAAACTTAAGGTCATAGTGGTTCAGGAGCCATTACAAGAAAAGAGCTAGCTTATAGTCAGCTTAATTTGCTGCCTTTTAGGTGTGTATGGTGAGTCCTGTCGGCTGAGTGGATCAGTAGTTCGTATCAGAAAGCACTTAATACATTCCTGTATTTGGTGACTTAAAACTTTTTCTGAGGAAATTTCTCCAGCAACTAGTATTGGTTTTATTTCTATTTGCTTAGAAAACTTGCTTTCAAGTCCAGAGCTGAGCTTTTGTTCTTAGTACTGACTTAACTTACTTTATTCTCTTACCAGCATGAAGATATCAGTCAGCCGGAGAATATGTTGGCTGTAAGTGTCTCCTTTTTGTTGGCGCTTCTGCATTTCTGATACAGATTCTTATTGATGGCTTGAGCCAGTAACAGACATAAAGACAGCTTAGTCAAATGACCACTTGGAGTTTTGAAAAATTTCAGCTAGAAAAAAGCGGATTTAATTTTCCTAGCAGCTCTGTTTGGAATGATTTTTTTTATTTTTTTTTTGGTCATGCTCTGAATGACACTCAACCAGAATCTCCTTTTTTGTTAAATCATATGACGAGATACCCAGGATGGACAATGAATTATCTGTTAATGCTGTTTTATTAGCAGTAGTGAAAGTATGAACAGTGTCTCCAGAATGCATTGAGGTTTTGCTACTATATAAAATCTTCAGGTGAAGTGCAACACTTTGGGGAAGCTGACTTTCCTTGAAGTGATGGAGCCAGGCTTTACCATGAAGTTCAGTGCTGTATTGCCCTTTTACATGCTTAGAAATTGTACTTTTTGGATGTATTTTCTTTTGCTGTTTAGATTTTATTACAGTAAAAGCTGTAATGGCATGTAAGTTAGTATACCATGAGATCCTCTTTAAGGGTTCTCATTTCTCCATTATTTTATTTTTTAAGTTCTTGGAATATGAAGAAAAGAGAGGAATTGTCCATGACTAGTTTCTCCTATCCCTATTTGAAACCTGAAACTTGTAGTCTTGCTGTTTCCCCAGTCTAGTCCTTGCACTTCAGCTTCATCTTAGTGTACATTTTTTACCAGAATTTCAGCAAAGGTTTGCATTTTGCCTTTTCAAGAGGCAAGATTTGAAGGATATAATTAAACTGTTGTGCGTTAACCCTGGTAGGCAGCTAAGCACCGCACAGGTGCTTGCTCACTTCCCCTCACTGCCCAGTGGGACAGGAGAAGAGGACAAGAAGAATAAAAGAAAGAAAACTTGTGGGTTGAGATAAAATTGCTTAATAAGCAAAAGAGAAGTGGAAGAGAGAAAGAAAACAAAGCAAGTGATACAAAGACAATCACTCACCACCTCCCACGGATAGACTGATGCCTAGCCAGTTCCCAAGCAAAAGGTGGCTAACTTCCCTAAACCCCCTCCTCACTTCTTATGGCTGAGCATGAGGTTATACGTCATGGAGTATCTCTTTGGTTAGTTCGGTTCTTCTGCCTTGTTATGTCCTCTCCCAACGTCTTCTGCACCTCCAGTCTGTTCACTGGTGGGGAGGGGAGAGTGAGAAACAGAAGGCCTTGGCACTGAGCAAACACCATTCAACAATAGCTAAAACATTAGTGTGTTATCAGTGTTGTTTTGGTCAGAGATCTAAAACACAGAACCATAGGAGCTGCTGTGAAGAAATTTAACTCCGTCCCAGCCAGGCCGAGTACATAAATATATGCAGAAAGTCCTCACATTGTCTCTGAATCTGTGATTATTTAAGTAAAGATAAAGCAAGGACATGCAGAACTTCAGAGAAACAAACTTCATACTCAGAAAGGTCTCTGTGTAATTTAGTTGCTGGCGGTCTGTGAGTTTCCCCCGATACTCAGCAAGGCAGAGAGGTAGGCATCTCCTTGTTCGCTTGTGTCTGTCTTCACCCCTGCAGCAAGTACTAGACTTCAGTCTCTTCTGGAAATATGCCACCCAAAGGTGAGTGAGGGGTCCCAACCCTTTCGTTTGAGTCTTTATAGGTGAATTTATTTTACACATCAATTAGAAAAATGGCATGTTGTTTACTTGATACAGTTCCTTAATATTTTTTTACTTCTTTCTTTAGTCAGCAGTAACTTCACATAAATTACTATAGAAGCAATGTATAGTCTGAATCCTGTTCCAGTCCACTTAAATACCCCTTCTGCCCTAAAATGGTGAGGACCAGATACTGTGTCTGTGTAAATATTGCAGTCTAAACACTGGCTACAAAGCATACACAGCATTTTGTTCTACTCCAGTGCTACACTTCTTTATCTCCTGTTCAAGCAGTCAAAAAGAGTGCCTAATCTCCCTGATGTGGAAATAGGAGAAGGTACAAAAAAATATGGATGCTAAATGAAAAAGTGATTGAGAGAAAGAAAGAAAAAATCATTAACACCTGCATGTGCAGGATTAGTGGTCTGTGTGCAATACTGTAAGTGTTTTTTAATTTTTTTTTTTTTAAAGAAAAAAGGGCATGTCATTTAGGTAGATGGCATGGAAGTTAACATCTTTTGTGAAATACTGTATTAAAATAGGTACTTGTAACATCAATGTTACCCGATAAACATTGGACCTTTACCTTGGCCACTTTATCTCATTCCAGAGGCACAGAGGAGGCTAAAAAGATACAGCAATAACACTAGCAACTGTTTGACCTCTGTGAGTTACAGTCTCTTTCATGCAGTATCACATATAGATCCTATGTGGCCACATTTATCATGCAAACTGGTTTTTGTCTTCATAGGCTTGTACAATAAGATTTTCTTTTTAAGAACAACAATTTTTTTTTTTGTAAGTTATCTGATAAATCATTGGATCAGAGGTTAAACTTAGTATTTATCTTTTTTTTTTTTCTCTTTAGGAACTCCTGAAAAAAAGTGTAGATATGGGGCTTGGAAGTTTATCCCTTCTACTTTCTATCTGAGAGTTGATAAATGGTGAATGGGTTGGGAATGCGGCAAGACAGTTGTGCAAGAAGTGCTTCAAGGGTATTTTGTAATTTTTTTGATAATAGACCTTAGGTGATAATACTGAAGGTTAAATTAATTAGACTACAGTAGGAATTAGAATATTTAGTATTAGAGTACTCTTAATTATGTCATCTTTTCTTAGGTTGCTGGACAGGCTGGGCTATCATCAGAGCTCTCCCAGAAGCTACTTGAAATGATTTCATCCCCTGCAGTGAAGAACCGACTGAAAGAGACAACAGAGGAAGCAATAAAATATGGGGTGAGATGCTTCCAATGCCATTTGGCATCACAGCTATGCATTCCTTCCCTATTAAGAATACTGGGAAGCAAGGAACGATGAAGGTGATGATTAGAAAGATGTATAGACCATCTCTCTTAGGTAGTCTTTGCTTTTTGAACACATAAAAGCTAACTCACTGTTGATTGTAGTTTATCTCATTGTCGTCTGGGAAACCAGGGTTGACCCATTCAGCTCCTTCCAGCTGGACAGCAAGGGTGGGGAGCTACAGGACCAGTACTAAGAGATACCATTTATGGCTACCTGACATAAAACTGTGGATTTATGGAGTTGGTTTTTTTGCTCCTTCAAATGGGGCACACAGGCTCTGGAGACTCCCCTACTTTCTGATGGCTCCATTAGACTCATCTTTAAGAATGAAGAAGGTGAAAAGAAGGGGAGGAAAAAAAGTCCAAGTTACTGCTTTTTATTCTTGAAGATTGATCATGTGTCTGCAAAAATTTCTCATTGTAACATTCTCTGTTTCATCTCCATGGTGTCAATAGGCATTTGGGATGCCTGCTGTTGTGGCACATCTTAATGGAAAACCTCATCTCTTTTTTGGCTCTGATCGTTTAGAGCTCCTAGGAAGCGTTATAGGTGAGTGTACCTAATAACATCACTTTTGGTTTCATGCTTTCACCCTCTTGTAATGAAATATGTAATACAGCTAAATAAAACACTCCTAAAGTCTTGCAAATAATAATGTTGGCTGTCCTTCTCATGGATGAACTGCTGACCGGAATGTGTCTCAGTACAGTTAAGAGTGACCACAGGTGTAGTCCTTTCCTAAACAAGAGGTAACTTGAGTTCATCCTCTCTTGGTATGTTTCAAAGCTTTGTGCTCCACATGCCATTCTCAAATTACTACTGAAACTCTGTAACAGTTTTCAAAATGTTCATATTTAACCTCTTGGTACTGGGCATTAGGTCTTGTCTAAGATTAAGACTATGGCTGATACTGCTTTTTTTTTTTTGTAGTTTTAACATTTTCATTTTATATCTCTTCTTAATGTGCTTTTTATTATCACAGCTCCCCAATCCATAACTTGAAATTGCCTAACTACACAACTTTTTAACAGATATTCATATATTGACCATCCTTCTTTTTATTTTTCCATTAATAGAATATGAACTTTAAATTTTTGAAGATAATTGGAATAGGTTGTGATAACTAATAGAACTCAGTCACCTGCTTTTACATGAGTTAGAGGGCATTTGACTATTGATCTCAAGATTTGGCTCTTGAGAGAGTTTGTCACTAGAAAGAGTGATGTACAGAATTAGCTCTGATGCTTTTGTTGAAAAATTTCAGCAGAAAATCTTAATCTAAATTAAAATTAGTTATAGGCTTAAACAGAAGGGATTTTTTTTTGAGCTTTATTTTCTTTTCTGGATGGGTTTCTGATTCTATAACAACATTCTTGATGAAAGTCAGAGTGAGGAAGATGAATGCCCAGCACCCACTACAATAGTCACTAATCCTAATTGGAATGTTACGGCCCGATTTCTAGTCTCGACTCCAAGGACTTCAACAGGTTTTCCTTTTGTTTCTCTGACTCCCCAGCCTTCCAACCTTTTTTTCTTCCTTAGCCCCAGCCCCTCAAAAAAGGAATCCTAAAAAGAATTGGCTTCACCCTCATGTGGAGTGTCCCAGACCTGCAGAATCTCTCATCTGTGACAGAGGAAAATAATTCTTCTGTACAGCTTCAGTTGTGACTAGACAGTGAAGGATTTATGGAGCTGGCTGAAGCATGCCAAACAAGATAGAAATCTGTATTCCATCATCAGTAGTTGCTCTTCAAAAGAGGTGTAGGAACAGTCATCCTACTGCAGAAATGTGACTGGCCAATCACTTCTGTGTATTAAATTTTAACTTTCTCTTTTGTGATGGTTTGTCTTACAGGTGAAAAATGGCTGGGACCCGTTCCATCAGTTCCAAGCCCCAAGATGTGAAAAGTCCTGGGGAAATGTATGGGAATGAAAATATATATGTACATGGTTAATCTTCACTGATCATCTGAATGTACCCAATTTTATGGAGAGATAGCTTTCTTATCCTTAACAGCTAACTTTACAGCTCAGTCTCATCTCTAATTATGAAGAATTTCAAGGTTTGCCAGTATTACCAGCCTGGTGAGGTCTTTACTAACACAAATGTGCTTTTTTTCTTTCAACAGATTAATGATTAACATGAAAGATTAAACGTAAAATACTTAACTTCTTGCAGATTAAACACCCTCCTGATTAGTTCTCTTTCTCTTACACTAAAAGCACGAGGATTAAATTGTTGGTGTGGAACTGAGATCTCTGGATTTCTCCCTAAAAGTGTAAGGATTAAATTGCTATGGGACTACAGTCTCTGGATTTCTTGTATCTTCCTGCTTGTCCTTTAGAAACACACACATACAGCCTAAGAGAAGCTGGCCACATTCTCCTTTTATTTTACGTCCAAGGTACTACACAGACACTAGAAGCACAGGACAAGGTATTCACACTTCCCTTTACTCTGCAATATGGCAGTTGGAGGGGACACAGGAGAGAAGAGTGGAAGAGAGAGGGACAGTTCAAGCCCAAAGAAAGATCTAGGGAACTAATCAAGTAGTTCAAAAGGAACTGTCCCCCTCCCAGACAGTATTTTATACACCTTGCTCTGCAGTGACTGACATTTGAGACCACCCCACACACATGCATTCTCAGGCACCAACCCCAGACCTTGCAGGGGTTTTTAATCAATAATTTACAGTAATGGCTTCGGAGGACAGTGGTGAATACCATGTAAGGTTAGTTGGTAACCGAACCAGATTGTGTTTTGCTTCCTCAAGGATGGCCTAATTGCTGCTTGTCCAAAGGTGAGTTGCATATGGCTAAGAGGGACTTCCCATCATATAGTCTACAGCGGGAAAGATGGGCAAACAATAAAAATAATAAAATGCACACTGAAATAGTTTGAACCTGGCCCTGTATTGGCTGGAGTAACACGCTCAAACTAATTTGATTTGTATGAGGCTTGATTTTTCAACGATTCCTGGCTGTCTCTGACGCATCACTGAAGGAAGCAGAAGAACTAGCAGCATCTGGGATTCCATTTTTTGTGTCTTTCTGAACTTTAAGGTAAAGCATATTCATTCTTGTTCGCTTGAACAGCAAATCCTGGAACAAAGCATCAGAAAAAATATCTGTATCTTTCACATTCTTACAGCTGTAAGTGTTGTGGGAGTATCATTTGTTCCCCCATCCACAACTTTTCCTTCTTACACCTCTTTCAGCTCTTCAGTAAATATCCTATAATTTGAGAACTCCTTCCTCCTTTCCACCAGTGTACCCATTAGTCGTTGGCAAATTCAGCCTGGAATTTAAGGAAATCTTTGTGAGATATAAGAGTCTACATTCATTTAGGAGTTACAATGATGGGGAAGTATCATGTATTTGGATGCCATAGGTTTCTTTGAGTCCTTTGAAGCTATGTTAAGGAAATTTTTTACCAATTCCCCCCTGAAATTTGCTAGTCTCCAATCTGTGCTATCAAACTGATTTCTGAGGTTGTGATAAAAATGGAATGACTGAAACATCACTTTAATCCAGATAACCCCAGTGGCCTGGGGCCACTGCTGTAGCCAGTGCTGTGTCAGAAATGGGTAAAATGCACTTTTGTGGAGGTAATGAACTCTGGTGGGAAGTTGGGGAGAATGCAAAGAACATCTTGAAATAATCTCATGGTGAAAGCCAGGGTCTCATGAAACTTCGTCCTTTGAACCAGCTTGACTGAAATAAAAAAAAAAAAAAAAGCCTTTGTGACAGAATGTTGTTGATTTGGCAGATGGACCAAATGAGATGGATCTTAGAAACTGCTGTGTATGTCCCAAATGATCTTAAAGGCCCTTAGACATACTTGAAATCACTGGAAATGAAATGCTCAAAGCGTTAGGTACTTAAACACTACTGAGATAGATACGGAAAATCCAAACTCAGGATTCCTGCCATTGCTTATTGCCTGTGATAACCACTAGTAAGTGGTTACAGCCTTTGCATTTTTTTATTGGTGACTATGCATACTGTTCCAATTCTGACTGTATACCTACTTTGAGCAAAATTTGCCTGCTTGGGAGCAGAGCTTTGAGGAAATTCTGCCTCTTGTTTAGGCGACCTTGCTCCTGTGTTACAGAGACCTGACCATGAGCACAAGCTCTTGGCAGACACTCTAGTGATTACCCCAGTAAACACTGGCTGGCAGCTACACTGTCATTCTCAGTACTTACCTTTGGCATAGCATGCATTTAGGTAGCCTCACTGCTGAGTACCAGCTTTCCCTGGCTTCCCTTTATGATCTGCCCTCTGTACATGCCAGTCTGCTGCCACACCAACAGCCACCACTGCATGGCATTGACCTGTTTATCTGACTGCTCTGAATGTCATCAGGTGCCCGGGCAGCTAAAAGCTGAGCATTGAAAAAACATTGAGGAGCTGAACTGCTGTCTTTTTACCAGGCACAGAGGTAGATGCTAACAGTAGTAAGAACTGCCAGCTGTTTAGGAACGGCTGCAATAATTTTCATCCATAAAGATGATACTTCTACTTGGCTATACACCAAACTAGTTCTTGAGAGCCTCACATCCACATCACTTTCAAGGTAGCATGCTCTTTAGCTATCAAGCCAGAGAAGATATGGGGCAAGGAAAGGGACTTTGAGCCAGAAGAGAGACTCTCAGTGATGCAGGCAAAACTGGACTACGAGCTCTAGGGAACAAACTTGGAGTTGTGTTCCCCTTTGCTCTATTACAGACCTCACCAGGAGATCTGGTCCCACTTCCCCTGTCTGGAAAAGCTGTGAAACTGGCATGGAGAAGTAGGTCCTGTCAACACTAGGCCCCGTCAACACTAGGCTGAAAACAAACAAGCAAGTGTAGAGATAGGCACAAAGTCACAAAATGAGCAAAAGAAAATGGTTCAGTAAAATAATGAAACCATAGGAAGCAGAGCATAGGTGCAGAGAGAGCTAGGCTGCATCTGAGCAAAGGAAACTGAACAATGAAAGAAAAAGAAGAGAATAAAACTGAGCATAGATTAGGGCAGAGAGAGGTGTCTCAGTGGAAAATGCTGTTCCCTGAGGGAGCAGGCAACCAAGAAAGTCAGAGCTTAGGTAGATTAAACAGGCCAGAGTTGGCTGGCCATGGAAGATCCTTTGGGGAAGCAGGTACAGGACTGACTATTTACTGTGAAGCTGTACAGTACTTGCTGCCCTCTTCCAGCGAGGCCAGGGATGGCCCATGGGCCTGTCCCCAGCCTGAACCAGGGGCCGGTGGCACTTCTCCATGTCCGTTACCTGCGCTCCTCACCCAGTACACACCGAGGCAGTCCTCCAGCGGTGACCTCACACGCAGCACAAAATGGAGGCCTGCAGAACAAGGCAGTTCTTTAACCTTCCCCTGCAAGCACCTTCTTACTGTCCTTTCAACCCTCAGCAAGCAAAACTGCCTAAATTAAATCTCTCTTTTTTGTCCCATCCTTATCTCTGTGCAAGTGAAAAGGAAACATTTTATTAAAGCACTTACTGGATTATGGTGCTGAGCATCTGCTTTGCTGCCTTTTCCTTTTCCAGTGGAGCCAGCAACACTGCTGGAAGGAAGCAACCTGCTTCCTAGAAGGGAACCAAGCACAGAACAATAAAGAAAATCAAGAGGGTATCCCAGGAGCTGTGCACATAGCTGGTTTTACCCCAAACTTTTCACAGATCTGTGGCTCATCTGCAGGGAAGAGTGAAAGGAATGTATCTACACCCAACTTGACTAATGTTACTTTGACCTACTTCTCATTCCAGCTTGAAACACAAGGAAAGTGACTACTTGGCTTTCATTTCATTCCAAAAAAATCATTGACCACTGGTTCCAGACTGTATTTCAATGCCACAGCTGTTCTGGCTAAAGCAGCTAATGTCTATAGCTATCTAATGAGTAATGAAGGCATTCTCCAACCTTCCCAGATGTTTCCATCAGTCCCATTTTGAATTTCTGTATCAGTCTACTGTTATACACAAAAAATAACTTAAAATAATACAGCAGGTTCCAGCAGGTGACAGCATCATGCAGTCAAGCTAAGAAATGCCCTTTACTGAATACATCTGTGCAACCTGAATGCCTTAGCCTTAAGAATACACTTTACGAAGCAGAGTCTAATCTTAAGCTCTCACAGTGTTTCTCTTCCTTCTCCTCCCTCTGCCCCCCCCTTAAGATTCCTACATCTGACCTCAGGGTGTAAGGAATTTGCCTATCATCACATATCAACATCCTGGCAAAACCAGGGATGAAATACTTTGCAAAATTCACAAACTTAGAACATTCTTTTGCTTTCTGTAATCATCTAATATTCACCACACACATGTGACAAGAAACAAATATGATATCTTTAACATAACAGCTCTCTTTCTTACACCATTCTAATTTATTCTTAGGTGACCCTCTATCCTATGCCCTAAGGATGGTTTAAAATTATTAAATATTGTAATTTCATAAATAGTATAGTTTCTGGGAGTTTGTGCATTGCTGTATTGCCACAGTAAATCTGTATTATAAGTCTTTTCTTTGAATCAGAGGAAAATGGAAAAAGTTTGAGTTACAGAGTTGGTGTCACGTGGAATGTGCTAAGGGGGAAGAAGGAGCAGACAAATTACTTCGATGGCTTACCTATCCGCCATTCAATCAGGGAAGTTAAGCAAGCTGTAAAATTCAGCAAATGAAGGATTCCTGCAATAAGATGGTAAGCCAAGATGTTCTTCACAGGAACGGTTTTTTTCTTTTGAACTATACATGATCATACCAATATTTTCTAGGGAACACATGAGATGCAATTGGGCTTCAGCAGTTTTTCAAAGGTAGACTATGCCCTTTCCCAATTTCATGATATAATTTAAAACTGTGAGGTTTAAAAACAAAATTGGTAAATCACTGCCATTTGTTGCTAAACTGTGGCTTTAAACAACATGAATTTGCAGTACAAAGGTTCTTCTCCATTTTGTGTATGTCCCAGCTCCAGTACTTTGAAATTTAGTTATGTTGTATGTTGTATGTAGGTAGTGACTAATAGACCAAGTAACTGAATAAAAACACATCTAAAACAACTATGCATATTAATTAACCTAGACGTGTCTTAAAGAAAGCATAAAGGAGGGTTATAGCTGAATTTATATCCTGGCCTTGAGGCTAGGGGGAAAGTCACCTCTGCCTCATGTGATATGCACTGGCATATGAAACATGTTGGTGCTTTAAAGCCAACTCCAAAAATAGCAGTTTTGGCAGTGGCAGTTCTCTATGTCTTTATTATCTAGCTCTGGTAGCATAACGACCACAGACTGTGGCCATTTTTTTTTCTTGTTTGTAACTTTGCACTCTCAATCCAAATGGCAAACTGGAGAACCCAAGGATGTGTTCACAGGTTAGGAATCCTAGAATCATTCAGCATAAGATTCAGACAGAGTGGGCATCCAAAATGTCTTAGGTTTCTTCATAAAAAATCAGTTCAGTCTGATTTTACACAGTACATTAACTGTGGCTGAATAGTTATTGTATAGCTCACTAAGGGGCAAAACTAAAACACCCGGATGCCTCTCTGTGTCCCAAGGTGTTTTCTTTGCTTTCAGATTAGCTTAACTCTGGCATTTCTTCAGTTTACTATGCTTGGTTATGGATAATTACAGTTCTTTCCTGTTGCATAGATTAACCCAAATTATCAATGTTCATTTAAATGTAATT